CCACTGAGGATGGGGTAAAGCCATTCCTTTCTTACTACAAGCTGACTCCACAGAGATCTCCCACTGCGCCAATTACAGAAGGTGAAAACATGAATACTTAATCAGGGTTGTCGACTAGAATATCTGGTTTCTCGTTCCCTCCCTTCTCCTGACAGCATTTCCTTCCAAGACAGGTTTAAAGGATTAGCTGACAGTTGAGACACAGCTGCCTGGATTTTCCAGCTCTTCCAACAGTGATCTAGGTGGGAACTATCTGCAATCCAGGTTTTGGAGCTCCTACTTTTGCAGCAGTAATGCTGATGACAGAAGGGACTGAGATCCATACCATTTCAAAACTGATCATATGCTATAGAGCAGCATTTCCTTTGAGAAGAAAATGTGTTCTCCTACCTCTTTCCAAAGCTTTTATCTAAAGCTATGCTCAATTTTAGCTTTATGAGTTTGTGTGGGTCACTTGTCTTCACAAAAGAGGTGTCCCTCTATTAAGATTTAGGTTCTCACACTTACTTGCTAGCCATAATCACTAGTGGCAATAGGCCAGGACCTCCAAAGGCTGGTCAAGGCTAAACAAATTCCTTCCAAACAACATTAGGCAGTTAAGACTTGACATTGCCAGAGTTTATCCACTATTCTGAGTATTTTTCAAGATTAACACATTTAACAACTATGTTACTGTCTAATACAAGTAAAACCACTTTGATCCCTTCCTATCTGCTTCAAGGCTACAACCTATAGAAAACTTTTATTGGAGAAAGACCAAAAATATCCTTCAAATATCAGTGACTATATACAGTTCTGTTTACAGGAAGCAGGAATTCAGCTATGATACTGCAGTCACGTTCCTTTTTACCTACACAATGAGCAAAACTGTTTCTAAAGAAGGTTGACTGGATCCATTAAAGACCAGATCAGAGAGCAGTTGAACAGTAGCTATCTTTCCTTGGCATGGCCATTGGTGAGATGAGTTCTGTTGTTCTGCTTCTGGGACCCATTCCTCTGGATACAATTGTTGCTTGTGATATTTCTGAAATGCATGATCCCATTCTTCTCCTTTTCTCTAATCTTTTCTCTTTCTTCATCCTTGTCACTTTCTTCTGTGTCACTTCTCATATCCTTTTCCATCTACAGAAGAATGTAAATGTGAAGCAATAAATACATGCAAGTCTGCACAAGAAGCAACGCTAGCTGACCCATACAGAGGGCCCAGTGCTATTTCAGTCACGAGCCTTTGGCAAACATGTCTACCGTGTCATCTTAGCTTTTACATATACAGTCACCTTTAGAAACTGATTATGTCTGTCTCTTTTGTTTCAGTCTCAGTGGGATCCCAACTGTCATCCTGATAAATGTTAGGAATTACTATACAGGTTGAGAAGCAGCACTACATCACAGATGTCCAGGACTGAGGACAGCTGTGTAAGACTAGGGAGACCCATACTGCTGCTCTGGCATGCTCTGGAAGGCAGTGAGGGGCAGGAAATCAAGCTCTTTAACTTTTCCCAGAGGGGCAAGGAGGTAGCTTCTGACTACACATGGCCTAGGTGGCTGCAGGTTAAGCATACTGCTTTGGACAGCATATGCTCTTAAACAAATGAATAGCTCAACACAAAAGACCCTCAACTCTGATTACATTCAGTATTATATTCAGGTTTATCCTCTTGTTATTGACTAAGAGATCTCTAATCCACTTTTGTAAATGTTTAGTTCCTTGCCTTTAAAGGAAGACAAAGAGGAGATGATGTGATAAAATGGCAAGTTTAGAGAAAACAACCTAGCACTTGATTTCCCAGGCTGCTTCTACTCTGCAATACAAGATGCGAAAAATTGCGGACAAACTCAGTGTCTACATTCTGTGTTAGAAAGAGTGCCCTGAGGGCTGACCCTAGGGGAAGCAGCAAACCCTTTCTGTGCCCTGAGCTTTAGAACTTCCTCAAGGCCATGCTGAGTTGCAGGGTGGACTCTGAAGTCTCCATCTGTTTAATCTGCTCTTCTGGGGATGTCTTTTGGACCATATTAAGCAGCCTATTCAGTCTGATGTCCTTTCTAGACAACACTACATGTAAAAACAGGTAGAATTTGTAAAAATCTAAACTTGCACTGAATGCAAGCTGCCTCCTTGAATGACCTCATGTCATTCAACTGGCAGCTCAGATACTAGGTAGCAATAGCCTTGATTTGCAGCATAAGGACAAAGAATAATCAGTACTTCTATATTCTTTTATTCACTGCCATAGAATGTGGCTGAGGCCTTACACCTATTAAGATTCACAAAGGAATCCATTGCATGGATTACAAAGAGGCATCACAGGTCACCTGTATGAGGAAATTGAATCTCTTACTTCAAGATCTAGGCAGAATTCTAATTACTGAAGATTAGGGGACATCATATGAGAAGGTGAGTCAGATATCCTGAAGTCAGGGAGAAAAATTCTGGAGATCAGAAAGACCCATGAGAAGAATCCAAGCTTCTTACTGGTGTGAGAATTTCAAGGCTTGCTCTCTCAAAAGGGGAAACTTCTCTATTCTTGCTGATACTGTTTTGGGCTACTAAAACTTATCAGCACTGATACAGGTAAGTTTAAGGACTATTATTCTTTGTTATGCACTGCTCAATATGGAAAGCTCCCAAATATATTCTTGCATCAAATGTGATGGATGATTTTTAGATAAAATGGAAGAATTCTGGATGTCCTTGAGTATTTTGTGCTGCCATTCAGAGGGACCTGGACAGGCTGGAGAGATGGGCGAAGAGGAGCCTCCTGTAGTTCAACAAAGGCAAGTGCAGGGTCCTGCACCTAGGCAGGAAGAATCCCCTGCGCCAGTACAGGCTGGGGGTTGACCTGCTGGAAAGCAGCTCTGCAGAGAAGGACCTGGGAGTCCTGGTGGACAACAAGTTAAGCATGAGGCAGCAGTGTGCCCTGGTGGCCAAGAAGGCCAATGGTCTCCTGGGGTGCATGAGGCAGAGTGTTGCCAGCAGGTGGAGGGAGGTGATCCTCCTCCTCTCCTCAGCCCTGCTGAGGCCTCACCTGGAGTACTGTGTCCACTTCTGGGCTCCCCAGTCCAAGAGAGACATGGCCCTACTGGAGAGAGAGAGTCCAGCAGTGGCCTGTGAAGATGAGGAGGGGACTGGAGCATCTCTCCTCTGAAGAAAGACTGCGAGAGCTGGGCCTGTTCAGCCTGGAGAAGAGAAGACTGAGACGGGATCTCATAAACGTGTATAAGTATCTGAAGGGGGCGTGTCAAGAGGATGGGGCCAATCTCTTCTCCGTGGTGCCCAGCGACAGGACAAGAGGCAACGGGCAGAAACTGAACCACAGGAGGTTCCACCTAAACCTGAGAAAAAACTTCTTGACTGTGAGGGTGACAGAGCATTGGAACAGGTTGCCCAGAGAGGTGGTGGAGTCTCCTTTGCTGGAGATATTCAAAACCCGTCTGGATGTGATCCTGGGCAATATGCTCTAGGTGACCCTGCTTGAACAGGGAGGTTGGACTAGATGCTCTCCAGAGGTCCCTTCCAACCTAAACGATTCTGTGATTCTGTGATTTTTCTTCCTGATGGCTCATTGCTCATTACACTGTAATCACTGCAACGGTAGTTGAGCACAGACTAGAACTAGGAAAGCAACAGTAGTGCTGTCAAACCTAATGCCTCTGCATTCTCTGTTCTGCAAGAGTTTTTTTTTTTATTTTAAATTTGCAAGTAGTTTTCTCTGTGCTGTTTTAAGGAATGGCAGATAAAGAAGACATGGACAATATGGATGAAGACAAGCCTTTCATGCTAGTTCTCAGTTCCTCTAAGATTGCCACAGTTGGATGCTACTAAAACAATTCATCCCAGGCTGTGAGGTCAACTCTCACAAGCATTGACTTGTTTCTCCCGGACTGTATTCCTGGCTTGTGGCCTAATGTCATTTAGGTCATGCCTTTGATTTAGGAAAGGATTTCATGCTGTGCAGCAGTTTGGTCTCGCAGCAGATACTACAGGCTGTAGTCAGAAAGAGTGGGATTCATGTCACTTAAGTTTATACAGCTACATCTCAGAAATTCATCTAGGGTTGCTCTATGACTGACAGAGATGAACTGGCATTAGTTGAGTGCAATCTTGAATGCTTTGGACTTGCTTCTTTGCTTCTATTGCTATAAAAAGAGTCCAGACAGCTATCATAACAGAAATATCTATTGTGTAGACATCTAAAATAGCGTAAGAATCTACTCAAAACATAGAGGAAGGCACTTTTGCACTGGCCTCATCACTCATGACAACTTCTCCTCCCCTGGTTTCTTAGTTCTGTGACAAATGCAAATCATACTGGTCCAGATGTTGGGATCTTTACTCGGATGTCACTGGCTTTGCTCAGAGAAATCTTCCCTGGAGTCCAACCCACATTTTTCTTGAATACAACCATCAGAAGTGTGCCCAAGGCTATGCAGATTAATAGCAATTTTACCTTTTTCATCAGCTTTGCCTAACAATATTAAAATTGCCTCTTTTACCACAGTGCTAGGAGTCCATGTCTATAATTTCACCAGCACGGTAAGAAAGAATCCATCCTGGATGAACCCCGTGCTCAACCAAGCGGTCTAGGGGGACCCTCCCTCCACACGTGAAGTACGGGAAGACTGCAAACTGATCTGTACCGTGCCCTGGAGGATGAACTTGTAGACCATATGAATAATTAGGTAGGACCAGAAAACATGGAGCAGCTGCAGAGTTATCAGAAGAGTGTTCATGAAGTAGTATCCAAAGAAGGGTTGGAATATCTCCATGGAGTAATAGTATGTGTTATAGAGCACTCTGCAAGAGAGAAGGAATTGGAGTTTGTTCTTAGCAGTGCTGTAGTAAGCCAATCTCAGAAAGCTCTAGTCACAGAGGAAGTTTCAGGTCAGTCGCTCTGTTCATATATATAGCCCTTGTGAATCAACCCTCAGTTACCCACCAGAAATTAGGAGGATAGAGCTCTCTTCCGAGGAGAGGCCTTCAGGAGGGCTCCTCCTCTGCAATATACTTTAGACCTTTATGACTACTCTATGAACTCCATAGCAGACCATCCCAGTATACCCCAAGGCAGATTTAACAGCCATGTGGCGCTGTAGCCTATGCAGAGAGCAGGCTCAAGACAGGAGCTCAAGAATTTAAAAAAAAAGGGCTGCACAAGAGATCGAGCGCTTAGCTGAACTGTCCTGCCTCTGACGAGGTAACTTTTCCATTTTCCTTGACTGCAGCACAGACTCACACGTAGGGGAAAATGACCAGGCGGCTGATGAGGAAAACAGCTGAGAAGATCATAAACAGGCAGTCACAAGTTTTTTTCCACTTCATATAATTCAGTATCTTAGTTGGCTGGAAAGACAAAGAACAATAAAAGACAGCAGACCAAGACAGTTCATCTGCACATGCTCCAGGAGGCTTCTGCATGGGGGTAATCATGCCTCCTCCTGGCTCTCTGCAGAAAGGCCTGGGATGGGCCAGGAGATCAATACTGAGTTGTCTGTGAAAGCCCCATCATGCTCTGCCCATACTGTGGTAATCAACATACACCCTTTGGCTGAAGAGCACCACCCCCACCTAGGCTTTGCCTTGCACATAAGCAGTGGGGCTTACCTCTAGGAAGCAATCAGAAGCATCGTGAATCACCATCACCAGTGTCCCAATGCGGATGTAATTGGCACAGTACGAGAAACTGATCAGGAAGATGGTTGCAGCGTGATGGACTATTTGTTCCTTGAAGTCCTAATGAGAAAGAGGACATAAGAGAGTAAGATACACAGTGTGCTTTCTCCCTGGTTAGAGCATGTCTCCTGCAGCAGCAATAAAATCTCTCTACCCTGTTAAGTAAGAAACCTCCCGCTATAAGGTCTAACCGATAAAAATCTTTGACCAGACACATTCTAGAACTGTAGGCAACCAAGAGACCCAAGAGTGACGAGTTTATGGTGTAAATTGAGGATCTCACAGCAAAGAATGTTCTCTCTGTCTTTATACCAGGTCTGGTGGTAGCTCAAATCAGATGATGGAATAATATGAGCTGATGATTCAGTACAGACAAATTCAGACACATAGAGCTTCCTTTCTGCCATGTAGCAGCGCCCATCTCCATCTCCACTCTGTGCCCACATGCATGCTTACCAGTTTATACATTCATCTCATACCCCTAGCCTCTCTGATGAAGACTCCCAACCACTCTCCCTTTATAAAGGTATATTCCCAGCCTCATGCAGGTCTATGTCCATGCAATCATGCAGCGGTTGGGGCACTGGCTCATAGGAACACATGCAGCCTAACTGGCAGAGATTCATCAGTTTTCCTGTCTCTGCTAGGCTCATGTTGTGTTTCTGACTCTTCTCTGGGACTGTCACTCACCTTCCTCTTCACATCAAAGGGCAGGGTGAAGACAAGTGAGCAGTAGAAGGAGAGCTCTAGCAAGTAGTACCAGAACAGAGAGGGCTGGAGAGGCTGCAACATGAAGGGAGAGACAGTAACACACCCATCAGGTAAGACAGAGCAAGGGCTGAAGTGAAGACTCCTTCCAAGGCCAAATATCAGACAACCAAACCAACAAGGGATGATTCTTGCAATTTTAGGGGAAAATACTTCAACTGAACAATGCAGTCATTTACTTAACGGCATCTGTGCTGAGGTGAAAACAAAGAACAGAGAAAACTCCACTTCGTGCTGCACTATGTGGAAGGTCAAGGGAACCAGGCATATTGCTAGTAGATCCTGAATATTTTTAGAATTTCTACAGCCCTGTGCAGATTCCTGAGAAGTCAGTACAGAGCTTTAAAAAATACCTATACTGTATATCTGTGAAATAGATAAGCAATACCTCAAAAAAATTATTCCCTTTGTTAGGATTCAAGGAGATGCTTCAGAGATCTCGGACTCTTACCATGTTTTTTCAGTCTAATCAAAACTGAAGTGGGGGGTAGGAGGAAGTACAAACCCAGTGTGAACAGTTATCAGTATTCTTCTGGCTAATTTTTCTAGGGTCTTATAGCTGGAAAACTAACAGCTTGGACCCACTAAGCAAGACATATACTATTTAATAAGTAATTTTTCTCTGACAAACAGACCCTATTTGATAAAAAATTCTTATGACTGAAGAGGCTTTGCAACTAGCAAAGCATCTTGGAGCACAGTGCTCCCAAATACCAATTAATTTAGGCTTTTTCTATTCAAAGTATTGATTTATGGTCTCCATAGCTTTTCGTTTGCTTTTGGATGCATTCGTGCTACTGTGCGGTATTAACATCTCTCAGGCTGGTGTGCCCTGTTCACACTCTGGGGTTTAATCAAACACCAGTTCTGGATCAGAAGCACTTTTTTTCAAAGAGACGATTATCTGCGAGAGTTCTTTTGCCCTCATCTCTAGCACAGGGCATGGTCTGTTAAAAGCGATTGTATTTAATACATTCCTTGCTCCTGCTATGACACAGGTATGTCCTTGACCTTTCCTTCTCTTTTCGGTGGGACTTTACTAGACGGGGTTTTGGTCTTCTCTGTTTGTTATAGGTGCTAAAAAGTGTTGTGTGGCTTATCATGGCTTGGATCTTTCTGGAAAAGAATATGTATTGCAAATGTACAGGACAAGATACAGAATCACAGAATCGTTTAGGTTGGAAGGGACCTCTGGAGAGCATCTAGTCCAACCTCCCTGTTCAAGCAGGCTCACCTAGAGCATATTGCCCAGGATCACATCCAGACGGGTTTTGAATATCTCCAGCAAAGGAGACTCCACCACCTCTCCGGGCAACCTGTTCCAATGCTCTGTCACCCTCACAGTCAAGAAGTTTTTTCTCAGGTTTAGGTGGAACCTCCTGTGGTTCAGTTTCTGCCCGTTGCCTCTTGTCCTGTCGCTGGGCACCACGGAGAAGAGTCTGGCCCCATCCTCTTGACACACCCCTTCAGATACTTATACACGTTTATGAGATCCCGTCTCAGTCTTCTCTTCTCCAGGCTGAACAGGCCCAGCTCTCGCAGTCTTTCTTCAGAGGAGAGATGCTCCAGTCCCCTCCTCATCTTCACAGGCCACTGCTGGACTCTCTCTCTCCAGTAGGGCCATGTCTCTCTTGGACTGGGGAGCCCAGAAGTGGACACAGTACTCCAGGTGAGGCCTCAGCAGGGCTGAGGAGAGGAGGAGGATCACCTCCCTCCACCTGCTGGCAACACTCTGCCTCATGCACCCCAGGAGACCATTGGCCTTCTTGGCCACAAGGGCACACTGCTGCCTCATGCTTAACTTGTCCACCAGCACTCCCAGCTCCTTCTCTGCAGGGCTGCTTTCCAGCAGGTCAACCCCCAGCCTGTACTGGCGCAGGGGATTCTTCCTGCCTAGGTGCAGGACCTTGCACTTGCTTCGCTGTGTCAGCCAATCCTCCCCACTTTAGTATCATCAGCAAACTTGCTGAGGGTGCACTCTGTCCCTTCCTCCAGGTCATCGATGAATACATTGAACAAGACTGGACCCAGGACTGACCCCTGGGGGACACCGCTAACTACAGACCTCCAACTTGACTCTGCGCCATTCACCACAACCCTCTGAGCTCGGCCATCCAGCCACTTCTCAATCCACCTCACCGTCCACTCGTCTAGCCCACACTTCTTGAGCTTGCCTAGGAGGATGTGATGGGAGACAGTGTTGGAAGCCTTGCTGAAGGCCAGGGAGACCACATCCACTGCTCTGCCCTCATCTACCCAGCCAGTCGTTCCCTCCCAGAAGGCTATCCGATTGGTCCAGCATGATTTCCCTTTGGTGAATCCATGCTGACTACGCCTGATCACCTTCTTGACCTCCACATGCTTAGAGAGGACCTCCAGGAGGAGCTGTTGCATCAGCTTTCCAGGGAAGGAGGGGAGGCTGACAGGCCTGTAGTTCCCTGGCTCCTCCTTCTTGCCCTTTTGGAAGGGTGGGGTGATATTGGCTTTCTTCCCAAGAGGTCTTTTAGTCTTTCATTGCTATTCAAACACTACCTGTTGGAATATTTCGACTTTTACACCTCACTACAGATTTGCCCCTAAAATTTCTGCCTTTGAGTGACAGCAGAAAGATTGTTTGAAGACTCAGCTTGAAAGATATTACCTCATTCTTCACTCATGTATTCTGTTCTTGTTCCAGTGGTTCATACTGTTAAAGTTGTGCATTATAATTCCCTTTACGGATTTGCAGATGTCAATGTACATCACAGGATCTTGTTCTAGCTTTGTCTAACAGGCCCCAAAGCTCTGGAACATAGGCTTCCTTCATTTTGTGTTGGTACTGTGATCCAGTTGTCCTTCAGCCTCCTCTTCAGTTAATGAAAATTTTGATTTCTTATCTGGGAAATTCTAGTACTTTAAAATCCTGTGCATGGTAGCTTCCTGCAGGATTATTCACAGGAAACTTACCCTGCTAGAAACATTTATCAGGCATTTGGACTGGAACAGGTAAATAATGAATTACAGGTTCCCCAGAGAGGCTGTAGAATCTCCATTCTTGGAGATAATCAAAACTCTATTAGACATGGGCATGGGTAAGCTGCTCTAGCTGACTCCGCTTGAGCAGGGACCAGATGATCTCTAGAGGTCATCCAGAGGTCTAGAGCTGGGATCTCTAACCCCAGCTTTCGGTGATTCTCTGATTCCGTGAAAGTAATCCAAAATCCACTAAGTCGATAGGAACCTTTCCATCAGCTTCACTGGACTTTTAATCACACTGTCAAGGCCCTGAGTATAGCAACAGGCTCTGCAAGCTCTTCCTTCCATTCTAGAGGTTTAGCTGCCTGTGTTCAAGGGCAGTTCTGATATGGCACAGCTGTGTAATCTTGGATGACACTGTTGTGAAAAGAGCTATGTGAGAAAGCGCAGTGAGAAATCTCATCGGGGCCTCCACCCCTTGGCGCAGGAGCTGCATTTCAGCTCAGGCCTCTGCCATCAGTCCGTGCCTGAACTATGTTATATGTTGTGCCTGGTTCTGTATTTCACTGATCTAGATCCACTGGCTTGGCATTAGACCTATCTCATCACTACAGACTTGTCTGGTGATTTGAACTCATGGCTGACTCTAGTTACCAGACGTGTTTTGCTCTTCTTGCTCTGTTTGTGTGGACTGTGCCCCTTGTCAGAGAGGACAACTGCCCCAACTGCCTTGCTGTCACCTTTAGCTCCCAGCTAACTTTCCCTTGTGGAACAACACACTCTTGCTGGTACCTGACACATCCCATAAAAGGCAGATTCAAGCTGCCTTAATTCAGCAACCTTAATTCAGCTAATGATACTAAATTATCTTTTCCTTTGCCCTTCTTAGCTCAGACTCTCCTGGTCCTACCATGACATCCTGGAAATACTTCCCAGGAGATAAAAGGCAAGGGAGTATTCCAGATCTTCATGAGATTTGTTTAGCTTGCATGGACCAGTCCCACTGTATGAGCTCCACAGTGCCCAATGATTCTTGCTTCCTGCTGCCAAGTATGCTGTCCTGGAGGCTACAGGAATGAAATGGTATCCAGTATTCTGACTAACTTGTTCATAATGCTAATCAAGCCTGTAGCAGACAGCTTCTCTAATGGTACAGAAAAACCTCTTCAGAAGTTGAAATCAGCTTTTTCACTTTAAAGAAATTTAGCTCTTTTTTATGTGCCTGCTGTAGCATCCACAGCAGCAAGATATAGGAAGGCTGCTGCTACACAACAGGCTATAATTGTCTTCTCTAGAGAATTTAGAGCACATAAAAATATAAAGGGAAAGGCAGAGCAGTCAAAAGCTCCTGTGCTCAGCAGGGGAAGCCCCCATTCTACCCCTTTCAATTTCTCAGCTATGGAAGTATGAATAGCCAGGGAGGCTGCTGGGCAAAAAGTACCTGGCTTTTTGTTGCTATCTTGCTCCTTGTGTTGATGACCAAGGAGCAGATTTTGTGCCTGGCTGGCAATTTTCTTTGAGATTATTTTGGTCCGGGCTGATAAGAGATGTATGCTCTCCAGCCCTCTGGATAGCTTTTCACAGTGCTGATGTGAAAAAATAGAGAACACACATTGTAAAACTGTAAGAGAACATCCTCTGAACTTAATGAAAATGATGTGCTATTGCTACTGGCCATACTGCCAGTTCCACTGGGAAATGAGCCAGTAGGGGAACACTATGGACAGGATTCTTCCGTACAGCTGAAAGAACTTACCATTCAGAGCACGCCCTCTTCTCTCAACACTCTCCACCAAAGTCTTCAGTTCTTCTCCTCAGACAACATGACCTTCTCTGGCCTCAATCTCTTCTAAAAACTAAACAACCTTGGAAGACTCACATTTTTCAGTTTCTTGGTTTATCTGGTCAGACCTCTCACTTTCCTCTTACTTCTGCAGATTCTCCTTCTGCTGTACCAATTCCTCCTCTATTGTGTTTATATTAAGACAGATACAAAAATGTTCTGGCTAGACAGGGATCTGTTTTTTAATTTGTGGGGCTCATTGGCCTGAATTTAATTCAGTGCCCTCTCTGTTCTCATTAACACAACCTGATTTTGGAAAGAGATCCTAAAACAATACATGAATTTTAACAGCAATTTTCACTCCTGCATGACTCACCTGTTGTGGATATCCTGTCCAGCACTCTCTATGGTTCCAAAGCCAAGGCTTCTGGAAAGAAAATGCAACATGAATATGAGAATGCCAGAGGGATTGTTCTCTTACTAGCTGCCTAATTCCTTTTGCTTGCTTTTTGTTATAGATTTTACTGTGTTTTGTTATAGGCAGAGCTGGTAGTGCTGTCTGGAATTTAGTTGCCAAGAGACTTCCACTACAGTGATTTGCAGTTGCTTGTGACATTGCCAATTCATGACTATTGAGCTGAAATTTCACAGGCTGTGAACCTACTTCCAAAAAAAAATGGCCCAGGGAAAATTTCTACCAACTTGTTGTAGCCTTTTTCAAGTTCAAGGGGTGGGAAAATATATTTTGAATATATTAAAATATTCATACAACTATTTCATTAAGAACCTCTATGGTTTGGACCACAGGGTGTCAGGAACATGTTTTTGCTCTGTGAAGATCATGCTGCAGCCTGTTAAGTAACAAACCTCTGAAAAAATCCTACTTTGTTTACACTTCATAGAAACTTGGTAATGACTAGAAACTTGGCAGCATAGAAACTTTCATAGAAATTTGGCAGCTGAAGTCTCCAAAAGTTCCTGCTCCATGGAGCATGCTCTGACCCTTCACAGTGTCTAGATTTGACCACAGCAAGCATGTTCTAGTCTGTACAGGGATGATATTCTACATCACAGCTGCAGAAATAATTTTCAGTAACAGTTCTACAAGGCTCCAGATACCACAGCTTTAAGCAGGAAGACACCATTTCCTGTTCTCTTACTAAGCACCTGCTGGTACACAAGCAATGCAGAGGGGAAGGAGGAAGCAGTGGTAATTAGGAGGAGTATGCAGCAGACACAGTCTGCTGCTGGTTGGGAGTAGGATGAGGAGTAGGATTTAGAGTAAATACAGGCATGGAACCAGGAAAGATGTGTGATGTGGAATTAGAGAGGATGGAGCAAAACACTCTGAAACTGCTATAGCACACCAATGTTCCGTAATCCAGAAAGGAACCTCAGATCTCTGAACTTAATCCTTTCTCTGCTATCAGCAAATAATTCTGATTTCTGATGGCCTAATGTGAGACGACTTTCTATTGCTATCTGCTATTTCACCGACTCATGGAGCTAGGGTTTGGGTAGTGAGTCTAAAGCTCACTACACAATACCAGAATTTAACAAGAGAATTTAAATTTTAAAGTTTGCTTTTTTCAAAAATGAAAATAAATGCATATTAAAATACTATTCAGATTACATGCGAAAGTCAGGAAATGTCAGAAGTAAAGATGCCCTGTCACATTAATTCATTGTCCTTCTCTTAAATATACTAATTTTGGTACAATTTTTAACAACATGATCACCTGCTATTTTGCTACAGAATCCCTAACTTGTTTGGAGGTTCTGGGGATGAATCTAGAACTGTTGTCTGATGTCTCATTTTTTGTGGGAACTAGAAGATATGCAGAGAATGAAGAAAAGACTTCCAGGAAAAGAGAAGATGTGGTCAGTGATTGTGGTATGATTGTGGTCAGTGGCACAGTCTAGTTGGAGGCCTGTAGCTAACGGTGTCCCCCAGGGGTCAGTACTGGGTCCAGTCTTGTTCAATGTATTCATCGATGACCTGGTGTCAGAGGATGACTGGTGTCCCTAGTCCCAGCTGTGATTAGAGCACACACATGGTTTCCATTCTCTTTTCTGCCTATAGGGATTCAAACCCTTATCACTCAAGTCTCAGCCTCCTCCTGTTGGAGTATTTCCATTTGTATCAAGAGTATTCACTATCAAATCCAAGAAAAGAGTCATGAGTCTGACCCTCTCACATCTTGTGTAAGGAAGAGATGTGAAAGAGATTTAAATTGCAGTCCATGCTCCAAAGAAAGTCTGTGCATTTTACTTTAAACAAGTATTGGATACAACACACAAACAGTCCCTAGGGAAAAAAAATGGCCCCAGGATCCTTCAACCTCAGATAAGTGTCCCACCTCTCACACCACAGAAATGTACTTTCACAGATGCAGACAGCTGCTCGCAATCCAAATTAGCTTCTGCTTTGCCAGAAGAAGAGAAAACCTCTTGTTTTGAGCTGGAGTTTGTAAAATATCCTAAATTAAGCCTGGTTCAATATGTTTGTGATCTCTTAAGTGTGCTGTGCAGAGGATATACACTGACTGGTGGGCACTCCTGTATAAAAAGGTCCAAACGGACAGGTTTGATAATGAAATCTGCCATTCTATCAGGCATTCACTAGGCAGAACAGCAGGTGACACTGCTTGTATACTCACATCATACAGGACGGCAAGTCCAGTGCAGAAGGAAATGATGTAAAATGTAAACCTCCAGCTACAAACAAACAAAACACAGTATGTTAGAATCCCACTAATCACGAAGTTGCAAATCTGTGTATCAATCAGATATTCATTCAAAGAATAACACTATGAAGTCAAAGAAATACATCAAAATGTTCAAGGTTTGTCCAGATGATAACAGGAGTGTTTCTCTGCATGTCTCCAGCACATTCAACAGACTTCACAATGAACAATTCTTCTGCTTTAGAGAAGACAGAAAACATGAGAATCTCCTTGACTAAAATTATCCAGAGAATCACCTCAACCCTTCCCAGCACTAGTAGATGCATGTGTAAAAGTCAAATAATACCAATCATTCTCGGGGTTTTTGGAGATTAGGCATGCTAAATTCATTAGCATGTAAAACATCTGATTATTGTCATGTTTGGTCTCAGTCAGGAGCTGGTAATGAATTGCACATAGTAATCCCACATAAAAGTACATATAAAATATGTCTGTCAATGTACATTAATATAAAATGAAGTTCAGTGGACAGAGGCACTTCATACCAAATATACAGACACACAGTAAGGTCTGAGGAGAATTTTACCCCAGCTGAATTAAGGAGTTGTTAATAGACCAAACACAGGAAATGCATCTGAGAAGAAGTAAACCACTGTAAAGCGGTCCTTTACTTAGCAAAAATCTCCATAACAAATCAGAGGTAACTAAATTTTGAGAAAGAGAGATACCCTCTGTGAATGAAACCCCCAGCGGCTTCAGGAAAGACATAAACTATACACATCAGAACGACATTCCTACTGCAAAAGGTGAAACAGTGCAGGTGAAAGGACACCATCCTCAGTAAACTGAGTCAGAAAAGCATTTACTGCAATTAGCTGAGTACAGGGAGAAAGACTTTAGATTTGATCTTGATGGAAGTAGATTAAGCATGGTTTTTTTCAAATTTTTGCCCAGTTTTTGTAAACATTTATAACTGCTGCTATCTGAGATGTTATAAGTGAATAATGTGTTCATCTTTTTCTTTTTCATTTAGGGTTTTAAGTTAGGGGTTTTGAATTAGAAGTTGAGTATTAAATGGAGAACAAGGTGATAAGCTCAAGGGTGATGCTTGCCCTGTAGATAAACATTTTTGGTCAGATGAATGCCACTGTAGGTATTCAATGTTTTTTCTTTCATCTCTGTGGCTTTCCTGGAAGAAACTACTCCCTTACAAGCATTGTAGAGCAGCCACTCGAAAGTCTGGCATGTCAGACAGGCTCAGGAGAATCCTCCTTCTCATTGGAAAGCTGAGCCAAAACTAACATTTCCAAGAGAGGCTAACTTGAGACTTTTTAGTAAAAGATTTTGGGGATTCTCATGAATGTGCTTCTACACTTTGGATCCATTTCTATCCCCTGCTCACCCCGTGTATGGGAACTGCTCTAACTACTGTGCAAAATCAGTCACTGGGGGGTGCTACAGATCCACTGTGTGTTGTGCAACAGCATAAACTCTTAGATCTTAAGATTTAAGACAAGCTCAGGGTAATAGTGCAGAAGTCTTTGTGGCAGCATGATGAACAAGTGGGGCCTCCCCACAGGATCAGGGAGATTAGGATGGGAACTGCTGACTAGGCTCACTAGCCCCTCCATAAGGGCATTTAGTGTAGAACGGTGTTCTAGAGAGCTTTTCACAGTCTCTGATTTCTTACTGGAAAAGGGCCCTGATGATCATCTGGTCTAGCCTTCTGCTGGCAGACAAGCCCAGCCCAGAAAGATCACCTAGGAATGAAGACGATGGGTGAGGGCTCAGGAGCTCAAAGAGCTATACAGTTCTAGGCCTCAGCTCTGTAACGCGGTGTCACATATTGGGTCATCCAAAGCCTCAAAGCTTGTTGCTAAATAAGTGTTCTATAAACCTGTTTTCAGGTGAAGCCTATCAGAGCTACTGCTGTGTTTCATCTGCAGAAAGCTTAGCAAAGACTAACATTTACAAAAGTGACTGACATGAGATTTATTTTTTCTGCTTAAGGTTAAGTAACTAAAAAGTGAGGAATGCAATAGTAGTCCTCTTTTGTCAGACCTCCTTATGCCTCCCCATAACCAGGAGGATTTCTACATATCATATTCCAAGAAAAGTTGTGCTCCTTGGAACATACAAGCTTTTACATAGGCTCCTTTTTCTGCCATTGTAAACTGATGTTGTTTTTTTGTTTTCAGGAAGTTGGGCTCACCTGGCAGAAGAAGACAATCTAGACCAATGTCTGTGACTTTTGAAAGCAATAGAGTGGAGAACAGTTACAAGGCAGATGCAGTAGGAGCAATCAGCTTGCAGTGAAGCGACATGGAGTCATGGGAAGGGAAACAGAGAAGCAACAGCAGTCTGATCATTTTGGAGGCACTGAAGCAGCAGCAAAAGAGCAGGAAGAAGCAGAAAGCAAAACAGAAGGGAATGTTTCAGGCATATGATCCTGTTTCAAATCAGAATGCCAATCTTAAAAAGTCATTTCCTCTATAGGCACTAAAGGTGTGACAGGAGTGAAAGGAGGCTTAGGAGTAAAAGTAAGGAGGAACAGCAAGGAGTGATTCAGTAACAGAGAAGCAGCAGCAGAGCAAGTGAAGAATCAAGTGAGGCAGGGAAAACCCTTCCTATGTAGGAGTGGAGGGCAGGAGGGGAGGCAATGAACAGTAAGCAGAGCTCAGCCCCACTGAAAGGCCCCCCACAGCTCAAGGCTTATGCTCCCACCACTCACCAGGCCTCACAGAATTTTTTTGACAGACTTGGTCGGTCTATGTTCCTCCGGCGCTGAAACCACCTCTCCACTTTTCTGACTGGCAGGTCACATTGTTTGGCTAAATTGATCAGCTCACCCTGAAAAACAGGTGAGGAAGCAAGATTCAGATTCAGGTTTGAAGGTCAAATGGGGCAATATGGCAATCGAGTCTGACCCACCACACAGCCCAGTGCAAAGACTCCTAGCTGGTGTTTCCTGGCAAGCCCATCTGTTTAAGCTAAGGCGTCTTTTTACAACAACTGCTTATGTTTAAACTTTGCATTTTTTTTTTGATGTGAATTTCTCCAGTTTAAACTTTCAAACTCTTGTCTCTTCTCCTCACACACTCTTCTCCAGGTGTGTATTGCCAAATCACCTCTTAACTCTGTCTTCAGGGATTGAGTCCATTAAATCTGTCACTCCAAGAAAGATTTACTACAGCTTAAATAAATTTTAAAGTTCTGCAATGACTCTTGTCACGCCTTTCAGCATCCTGACGCAATACCAGGCAATAACCTGACTAACGTTATGATCAGAGGTAACACCGTTTTCCTACTGGAAAGTCTCCTGTTACGGTAAACCTGCCAGGGACAATTTTTCCATATACTACTCACAGAAATACTGTACCTTCCCTCTTGTCCTTAGGCTCTTAAGAGTTTGGTGTATGACATGAAAGAAGTTCGTTATGTTTTATTGCAATATTGCTTCTGGAAGTGTCATCACGGATAGTCTTTTTTTCAAATAAGGCATTTGTCTTTCATGTCTTTCACCTTAACAAGTGTCATGTGACAATGATTTACATAATCTGAGTGTGTAAGTATGCCCATTCACCACATTTTCAAATATGCTTCCTTCCACTTTTACTTAGTGACTTCTGTTTTTGTGGTGGAGTCAAATGGAGACGTGATTTACTTGGAGATTTATCTTTAATGGAGATTCATTTAGCTTCTCCAAATCCTCCATAATGCTCTATGCCTCCCAAGGAGAGAGCAGCTGGGAACAGCAAAATCTCATCTTGGATTGAACAAGTTAAAGCTGACTCATAAGGAGGAATCTGAGAGCTCATGAGAGAGAAAGGAAGTTAGAAGACTAGATGAGGTGTAACTGGTGAACTGAGAGAGCAAGGCAGGAGTAAGTTGCACAGCTCTTTCCTCCATGTAACACTGATATCAGAAGTCTCATCATCAGCTCCAGTATCACAGATTCTCTTGCTCATTCAGTGCCACGTGGGTGTGGGAAAAGCTCTCCTTTGTGGGGATAGCCTACTTACAAAGCTAGGTCTTGACTTAGATATCCGCAATGGGAGTAGTTTTACTGAGAAATTTGCAGATTTCTCAGAGAACAGATAGACAGGCAGCAGGAAAGTCAGGGACCAAGTATTCCTTAGAACATTTTTTCCCACTGCTGGGGAGAATGACTTGCTGCGGAATCTAGATGAACGCCTGTATTTTTGTTTTAGCTTCTATTCCTGACCTGTTATATTGCTTTGAATCTGAAACTTCTGGGGCTCCACCTGCCCCATTGCAGTAAGAATCATGCTGTGACAGTCTTGTCAATGTGATAACATGCTTTTGCACAAGGACCGCCCACTGGGAACAGAATCCTAATCCATCTACTTATAAGACCTAGGTAAAGGTAAATAGCCATTGCTTCAAAGCCAAGAAAGCCTGCAGAAAGCAGCAGAAGGGAATCTGATTCACTTCCCTACCACAGGGATCATATCCTGGGACCTCACAGACAAGGTTAAATGCTAATACAGTCTGACACTTTACAGTCCTGCCAATGCTTTTTCTCTCACCTGTCGCCACCATATCCTGGATTCTCCTGCCAAGATCTTCCAGATCACTCTTTTCATCTCCCGTAGGAAAACTACCCACCATTTACGCTTAAGTGATGATTGTCAAGACTTTAGCTGGCTTCCTGAAAGGCCAGTCTCAAATTCATGGATTCCACGGCAACAGAATGACCCATCTGAGAAATAGGAGTATCAAGCAATCCACATCTGCTAAGCTGCAAGGACTGGCAACATGTGAATCTATTTAAGGGATTTCACGTGCTAGCGATACTATGATTTGCTCATGTAGGAAATGAATCCATGTACAATGCAAACACAAAAGGAACTAGCATTTGTCAAGGAGAGCAGTCCCCTGTCCCTAAATATTTGGGGTTTCATTTTTTTGAATGCCATCTATGGAAAGCTGCTATTTCTACATGTTCAGAAGCAGAATTGATGGCTGGTGGCATTTGCAGAATGGCTGCTGCCGCTGGCTTACGTCAGGTTGCCAGTGCTATTCTGGTTTCTACTGCTTTGCTGAGCTTCCAAATACGAGTGGCATTACCAAATTTTAGGATTTCAAATGTGATTTTTTTGGCTAAAGATATGAGGGCTAAATCTAGAGGGATGCAGATGAAGGAAGGACTTGCCTCTTTGGGGTTCTTGCAGCGCATACTGTAGAATGTTTCCAGAATGGGGTTGGGCTGAACTTTTGGTCTCAGCTTGTCCCTCACACCCAGTTTGCCACTGAGGGGCAGGGCTATGGTTCTGTAAGAGAAAAGAAAAAGCTTCAGCCAAGAAAAGAATATACAGAGCAGTGATTTCTTATAACTGTTTTGCAGCACTGTAAAACACAGTGGTGTCATACAGAGCAGCTGCCTCCCACAATTTTAAGTCTAAGCACAAGTATCATGTCAAACAGATGAGGTAGACAGAGAAACTATGGAAAAAAACCTCACAGCAGAAAGAGTGGAAATTATATTCTACTGTCCTGGACACTGTGCTATAATATACAAATCTGAATAACGTTGGGAAATGCTACTGTCCTGCTTTGTTAACTTCCAAATCCACTGTGCTTGGGTGTCCAGGATTATGGCATGAAGCCAAGGCTGGCAAAGAGGCAGACCTGCCCCCTGCAACTGGTCTCTGGCTTGCTTGCAGCTTATGCGGAGTACCAGATCGATGATAAGGCCTAAATGTTGTTCATTGCTCCATGTAGAACGTGGAATATAATGGTCACTCTTGAACTAAAGGACTGGGCTCGGGAGCAAGGTGGAGGCTCTAACGGACATGTGCATTTAATGCAGAAGAAATATCCTGTTGAAACAAGAGATCACTTAGTCTTTACTGGAAGATCTTTCCCCAGTTTTTCCTAATGCAAGTCAAACACTAGTTGTATTGTAAGAACATAGCAACTGGAAAGTTAATTACAAGGAATGGGGTGGGTAGCTCTACACCTTCAGTCATTCACACTGAAACAATGAAATAATATCTGCATACACAGAAAAAAATTACCAAGAAATAACAAAACTTGGCATAGAATTTCTGTGCTCAACAATTCAACTTCTCCACTGCAAACATTTCTCTCTCCCTTGGCAGTAGGAAACACCCTCATAAACAGTGTGAAGTGAGGCATTGCACAGGCATTGCACAAGCAGGAAACTTAAATCAAAGTTTCAAAAAAGGGCCAAATTAACTCCCTGCTCCCTATCTTTATGGAGAATTAGTTGTTCCTTATTAATCACTACCTTTTACACACTGCCAGTGGCATGCAATTATCTCACTAGCCAAAAAGAGCAGAGTGCCTGCCTAGAAGCACTTTTCAGCACTGCTGCAACACCAAAATCTCAAGAAGACTTCTCTCTGCCTTTTTCAACAGAAACTTTTTGCTCAAAGTGCTAACAGCTCCCCTGAACAGTTATTGGGTTAGCAACTGTAATCAGTGTTGAGGACAGTTACAAGCTGATGATCACCATGCAAAGATAGCAAGTGCAGAGATCCAAGCCTCCCCTTGTGGTCATTCTCCTTTCTGTTCAGGGAGGTCGTCTGATCAGTTACCCCTAAATGATTCAGACACTGAATAATATCTTCTTTTTCCCACTGGAGCAAAAAAGTTCTGGAAGCTACCTCATGAAGTAGGTGTCTTAAGCTATTTTATTTAAAAATAGCATGTGATACATTTATGACTGTGATTATATAGTGTAGGTGCCTGTGGTCCGCATGACAGAGTATGTCCCTTCAAGCCATACAATCTATCTTCCATAGGCTTCCATGGTTACATGTTTGCTCACATATATTACAGCTGATTTCCACCTTTTTTTTTGCACAGCCAAGGGCCTATATACCAGTTCTGTTTCCTCACTTCTGGGAAATTCCTCTGGCTTCACTGGCTACAAGAGCATTCAAAGGTATACCAAGAATGATGAGAAAGATATGCTTCTAGCATGAAAGATGGGTTCAAGGTAAGTGTGCTTCCTGGCTACTTTCCAGGTGCTAAAAAACACATAAGTATCACAAAAGCTAAGTGGGAGCTCTGATCAGTTTCAGTGACTCAGCAGCATCCTGACATTGCTGCAACCTGCAGACTGCTGTAGGGCAGAGGAACGTAGGCTACTATTGGAGTTTTTGTTTTTTAACTTGGATTGCTTTTAATAACTATTTCAACTATATCTTATGATCTCTTTAATACCAAAGGGTTTAACACTGGTATTAGACCAGCTGGTCCTGTGCCAAGAACACCACCACAGTATTTCAAAGATACCCACAATTATACAGAAATTGAGAAAACATTTGCCTTAAGCTCTGCACTAGGTCTCGGTTCTTATGTTGAGTAGTTCCTTGAAGTGGTCTTAATCTTTCTTTTTTAAAGGTAAGTCATTTAATACAAGCTCCTCTGAAGATGGAAATGTAACCAATTTCTGTTGCTTAAGAAGAGCTTTACTGCAGCTTCTTATTCCTCTGCCTTGGAAACTTTTCTGGCCTGAAATTTGCCAGACACATTAAAGGTAAGGAGAATATTCCTGCCAGGTGGCAGGACAGCTTTCCAACAAGTTTTTTAGTGGAAAACTATTTAAACTACCTGGACTGATTTCTTAATTTTGTTTAATGCTTCTTTTCTTTCTCTTTCCTGCTGGTTTGTCATGGTCATGGAGTAAAATCTCATTATAGCAGAAGCAATCCAGTTGATGCAGCAGTTGGCAGTTGATGAAAACAGAGTATAATTAACCAAAGTAATAATTACTTTGTTGTTGAGGTGTTGATTTTAACTGTGAATTATGGTACCAATCCTACTTTTATGAAAATCATTAGGAAATCAAGTCCTGAAATTCTTCCTCAGCGAGGTCTGTACATGTTGGCTGTATACTCTGACTCACTCTTCAGTTGAATCTTTTTCCAAGCACAACCCTAAGAGGATGATGTTTGTATTGATTTCAGCATCACAGATTCACCATTTTAATTGCAAGGACAGTCTTATCACAGCAGCTCATCAGCTCTGCAGAAGATAGGAGAAAGCCCGAGGACTAAGTTGTGTAACTTTCCATATTTAGGCAAGGGAAGTTACAGTCAGCGAATTGATTCTCATCCCAAGCCTCTTTCTCTTCAGTAAGGAATAGGTGAAGACAGCTTCTCTCACTTAAATATTTACATGGGAAAGTTCACACATTACGGCCTTTTTTTTCAGCAATCACCAAAGAACAAACTGTCACGTGTAAAATCTGATGAAGTTAAAACTAAATGGATTAATTATGAAGCATCATAAGTTCATGCTCTCCACTTTGCAAGAGTGAGCTACACTCCTTCTGTAGAGGCCTCCAGAGCTGGTATGAGACATTAGAAATAATTTAACTTTTGGGTTTTATAGGGGTCACTTAGAATTTAAAAGAGTGTCATTGCTACCAATATACTCTGCAAATATCTTCTTCTAGTACTAGGTAATGTAGGACTAGTGACTGCATCAACCAGAACTTCTATTCATTGAATGGCACAGTGACTTTAAGCCTTAGGCTTTCCTTTGGCAAAGGGCTACCTTTGTGCTCCTACAATATTCTCTATCTTCTGTTGGTTAGAGGGGAACAGATTACATCAAAGCTGGTCAGTCTAAGATCTAACAATCACTACAGTGCTACCATCCGAACTGAGCCAAGTCAGTTCCTAGTCATCAATTAAACATTACAAGTTGTCCCAACACCTCTGCACAGAAAATCTGCCTATAGGCTCTAACAGGCAGCTATTTTCAGATTCATCCTGATTATAGCTCAGTGACAAAATCTCTGAGCAAAATGAATTTCAGATAAATACATTTCAAAAATAAAATACCTGAAAAATTTGTCCTCTTTTATTTATTTTCTAATTCAGAGTTCAAAAATGTATTCCCTGCGAATCAGCAGTATTCCTTGCTTTTAATTCCCCAAGCACGGCTCATATACTGATGCAACCCTTCTAAGGAAGAGACCCAATGTTTCTGGATATACTAGGAGTCAATATATTAAGAGTCATTAAAAATAGTTCTGATTTAAGACATTAGGCAATCTCCTAATTTCTTTTCTCTCCCTCCCATCAGTAACTACTTGTCATGACTTCTCCACATCTTCTACACTGCTATCATCATGGAAATTTTTTCATTAGCTACATTTGGGGAAAAAAAAGAGAAATAATAATACTGTAATTTTTTTTTGTTTGTTAATAATCCTACACCAGGAGGCGTAGTAGGCATTTGCCTGTTCATGTCAATAAAAACTTTCTTCTTTTATGTAAATAGAAACTTACAGTCATCCACTGTCTTTGGAAAAGGACTATACTCAGTGGACTAAGGTCTTCCTCCTTTCACTGGCATTATGCTCTGTTAAAGCATAGCTCAGTTAAAGGGCATATGCTCAGTTAAAGAGTTCCTGGAGATTCTCTGGACACAGGCGAATCCCTACATAGCATGGAGCAGTGTGGTCTACCCTAAATCACATTCACATGATACTATCTCTAGCATCCACGGTGATTTATCTCCCCCAACCCTGCAGACCTGAGGAAAGCCAGAGGCAGACTCACCTCATCTGTTTTCTTGGATCACTGGCTAAAATGAATGTGGCAGGTGGGGGAAAGAATCTGAGACAAATTAAAATAAAAATATTTTTCTTCCATTCCTTGTAGAATTTGAACAAAAGTAAATCAATAAATTAGGAGCTAGAGGAAAGCACCACTCAAAAGTGGAGAAAGAGGTGATAGCATCAACTTTTCCATTTGTAGGCCTGTAGTGAGGGCACTTCTCCAGGCTGTGCAGTTTGGTGCAGTCCTGTCCTATGCCTCAGAAGTTACAAACCCACAACTGCCAACAGAGTATTCTGACCTTAGAGGAAGGTATTTTGGGATGTTTGCGGTGAATATCTCAGGTTTATACTGTTCCACTTGATGGAAAATACTTACATATTGATTGAGCCAGAGAAAGGTAAAAATTCCCAAGTAACTTCCAACTACTTTACCAAACAAATCCAATGCCATTTCATTAAAGTAATTAATTTGTAACAGGTTTTAGAATAACAACAAAGTAATATAAAAGCATCTATGGATAGGAAAAAAAGTTAAACTGTAATTCATGGTCGTGTACTTGTTAAGAACATTTGTGAGTATGACCATGTTTACAATCTCTTCATTTATTCCCCCTCATTTAATACTCTGTTAAACCAATGTGTTGGTGCTAAGCCTTCAGATAGCAAAATTTGGCCTAAATGGCTAAGGAGCTTGAGCAGGCTTTTCTTAACTTCAACTATTGCACAAGA